GCCACGCACCACATCCCACGGTAGGCGGGACCAGCTGATGTAGCGAACCCATCGCTGAAAGTAGTGCCAGAAACCTACGCTACCTGAGCGCTGCAAATCTTCGGAGACAGGAGTGTGGCCAATCCCCCTCTAGCCATCCGGAAATCCGTATGAAAAGGGCTTTCCAGGTATACTGTTAATGCTGAACTCGTGCTTAAAAGGCGACTTGAAGTAAAGCGTGCGAGCAAAGTTCAACAAATCCGAGTGTCTATCCTCGGTTCTTTCTTTTTTTTCATTTCTTCATCCCTTCATCCCTGACCACCTCTTTTCCAGTGCTGCACCCGCTTTTGGATATTTCTTCTTTGTGAGATAGTTCCACCGTGGTACGCAGAGAGACACCCAGTATCCTACAGAAGAGAAAGCCAAGCCAAAGCGCTCATACGATAGCGATCGATCGGCATGCTACACAGTAAAACGGCCATAGTTCAGCGTTAAGCAAGGTCTTCAAGCGAACCTGCCGCGCCTATCATCTTCGCTGCAGTGCCACTATCAAGTGCTTATGGTTAGAGACCTTGCTACCTCACACCCGGAAAGAATCGCTCGGAGGACCGACTCACGCCCCGCGCCTACAGTGCTTTCGAGTTGTTTCAAGCTTTAAAATGGTTTTATATTTATATTCAATTACTTCGCATGCCCAGGCCCTTCTATCTTCTCTCTCTCTACCCTTCCTCTCCCATGTGATAACTCTGGGGCGGGAAAAGTTGTCGATAGTAACGTACACGATGAAGAGCACGACTCGCGTTGGCGAGAGTGAAATGTCGCGCGGTGAAACATTGCATGAACAGGCAAAATCTCGAAAGTGCGGTCGAAAGAAATCCTCGGACCGTCTTTCACTCTGCCCCTCCTCCTCTCTTCTCTATCCAATTGAAAATTTGCCATGTGTAGAAGTTGGACAGAAACAAGGAGTATTAGGTCCATACTCATTCAAACATCTCCATGACATCCTGGATATATGCTCACCAATCATAAATAGGTGGAAAAGTAAAAGAGCTGAGCATTCTGCTTGCCTTTTTTGCACGAAGACCATAACAACCCCTAACGCTACGATATACCTCACTTAAGTTTGTAGTGCCGCAGAAGGGAACACTTAAAAATATAATAAAACTCATTGTGACCAAAATCGAGGCGGCATTTCCAAATAATTGGTGATACACGTAAAATTCGCAGCTCAAATTCTCTGTGTGCTGGCTCAGCTTACGCGTGATACAGTGTTCTCAAAGTGCTACGTTGAAGATATGGTGTGAGAGCTCAAAGAAGGAAGAACGGATGCGAGTTGTGGTTGAGGACGCGCTCACATTGCCCACCTTGTCCAATGTGAGCCCCCCACGGAAGAAAAATGGGGTGGGGTGGGGAAGAGCGGGTTAATGAAGTGAGATTTCAAATGACGCATCACAGATGCTGCACCTTTGCGATGTTTGCCCATGAGACTTGCAGTCTAGCTGCAGCTGTTACGCGAATTGTGCCCAAAAATTGGGAGATGGTCCATAGAACATGTTTTTGAATATCTCATTTACTCCCAGATGCAGGAGTCCAGAATCGAATTGGTGTCTGTAGCATTGATCTTCTCTGCCAATAGCGTCATTTAAGAGTATCAAACTGAACTCTGCTCATAAACGAAATTTGAGTGGAATTGTACCCTGGTCGTAGAGCTACAAAGTCAAAGCGTCCACTTAAGATTAACGTCAATGTAGAATAGTTAACGAATTGGGATCTCGATAAGTCACGGGTTTAGCGTGATGATGATTACGCTGCGACGAATTTCTGAGATTGTGGACCTCTACAAAACACATTGACGACCTTGTCCTTTTTTGCGCTGTTTTATGGTCTTTTTTTGGTTTCCGTTTGTGTGTTGTGATCCTGTTGGTTGTTGCCGATTCTTTTGTCGTAGTTTCGACTTTGTTTTTTTTTTTGTCCTTGCACCTCGAATCCGTTCTAATTTTTTTTATTGATATTTTTTTTTTTTAATTTTTTAAGTTAGCGTATCTCTATTTTGTACTCTTTTTATAATACCTTTCTCTATTTAACAGTCATATTTTGCGATGAAGGTAATTAAGTTATATAGTGATCAATTTCCATTTTAATTTAGATACATGTTATATTTGTGTAATTAACATATACCATGTTATAATTTTTTTATTTCTTTTATTTTTTTTTCTTTTTATTAATCTGTCCTCTAGATTCCTTTCTTCTTATTTCGGATGTTTGTTTATTATTGGCATTTTATACATAATTTGATTTTTTTTTCTGTTCTGCTTTTATATTTGGTCATTTTTATTCTTTCCCACCACTACCATATTATTTGTACTTTTGTGTTTCATGTGTAGACTAGCTCTTATAATAATATATAATTGAATTGTCAAGTTCTTCCACAGTCCTCGCGTTAACACTAATCGCATTAAAATAAATTATTTTATCATTTGGGTTTTTTTTTTTTTTTCAATTTTTTTTTTTTTTTTTTTTTTTTTTTTTTTTTTTTTTTTTTTTTTTTTTTTTTTTTTTTTTTTTTTTTTTTTTTTTTTTTTTTTTTTTTTTTTTTTTTTTTTTTTTTTTTTTTTTTTTTTTTTTTTTTTTTTTTTTTTTTTTTTTTTTTTTTTTTTTTTTTTTTTTTTTTTTTTTTTTTTTTTTTTTTTTTTTTTTTTTTTTTTTTTTTTTTTTTTTTTTTTTTTTTTTTTTTTTTTTTTTTTTTTTTTTTTTTTTTTTTTTTTTTTTTTTTTTTTTTTTTTTTTTTTTTTTTTTTTTTTTTTTTTTTTTTTTTTTTTTTTTTTTTTTTTTTTTTTTTTTTTTTTTTTTTTTTTTTTTTTTTTTTTTTTTTTTTTTTTTTTTTTTTTTTTTTTTTTTTCTTTTTTTTTTTTTTTTTTTTTTTTTTTTTTTTTTTTTTTTTTTTTTTTTTTTTTTTTTTTTTTTTTTTTTTTTTTTTTTTTTTTTTTTTTTTTTTTTTTTTTTTTTTTTTTTTTTTTTTTTTTTTTTTTTTTTTTTTTTTTTTTTTTTTTTTTTTTTTTTTTTTTTTTTTTTTTTATTTTTAAATCTATTATAACAATAACTTGTTATTTTATTAATATTTTTTTTTTTTTTTTTGTACTATTTTAATTTGCGGTTCTATTTTTTTTTTTGTCTCTTAAAATTAATATAGTGATGAGATGAGATAGGGGTCGTTATCAGCGTTTATTCTTGCTTATATTCTCTAATTTCTAGTGTTTAAATGTTTGAGACTCTTATTTTTCTCTTTTTGCGTCTTTTTCAATGTTCGTTTTTTCTAATTTTATTTGTTATATGCGTATCTGTTTCTTTCGTGGGAAATATAGCGTCGCATGGCTTTTTTTTTTTTTCAATGTTTGTTTATCTTTTTTTAGTCGATTCTAAATTACTTAAAGAATAGCATGTAGATAAACTTTACTTTATTTATAATTTCTTATCATTTTTCACCTATTTGTTCGATTCCTTTGATTTTCTCTACATATCTTCACTATCTTCTATCGTTTTTTTGTATTTGTCGACCACACGAATAGTTGTTGATCTCTTTGCTGTTTATCTTTTATTCGCTCGCTTTTCTCGTCTCATTGTCCTTGTCGATTCTTGTTTTTTGTATTTTTTTGATTTCTGAATTTCGCTTTCTTCTAATCTTCGATTGTGATAGCGCTTATTATATATCATTTTGATCTTTTTTTTTTTCTTTAAACCTGATATCGTAAGAATCTTGTTCTATTTATCTTTTTTGTCTTTTTTTATTATATAATAGTCTGCTTGTCTTCTTCACTTTGTTTCTTTATTATCTTCTTGTATTTTTCTGTTTTGTCTAACGCGCTACACTTTGACAAGATCTCTTTGTACTTAATCTACCTTTTAATTAAGTTATTTGAGCTTTTTATATTTTCCTTGTTCTGTCTATTTTTTTATGAGATCTAATACTCATGGACTTTGTTGAAGTAGTATGACTACTTATTTATTTTAGCTATTAGCCATTTCCCTTATTTCTTTTATCTTTTTTTCATTTTTTTGAATAACTTGCTCATTATTATTTTTTCGCGTACTCTTTTTCTTTTTTTTTCTATGATCGAGATATCAGGTACATCACCTATAATATGCCCTTAATTTTATACGGTTGTTCCAAAATAAATGAGATCACTTTCAGTTCCATTTGGCGTCACTCATTCATTTTTGTTTGTTTTTCGAACTTCGTCCACAACATTGGTTAAATGTTTGATTTGTTTTAATATGATATTATATTGTTTATATTTCCTTTATTTTTCTTTTTTCTTTTAATTATACGAATATTATCATCACTGCCCCCCGCCGTCTCCAGAATATGACGTCATCTGCCGTCACCGTCGAGCTCAACGAGGCTTACCGAAATCGCTCCGACCTGAAGCTGCTACACAATTTCCTCAGTGAATTAATTGTTGAATAGCTTCCCAGAGACATTAGCTGTGAATGTGCAAAACCGCTTTTGACCTGCGTTTCAGAGACGTCGTAATCGTCTATGGTATCTCAACGACCTCGTTGAGATCGTACCGCGCACAATGCTTCCGTGGGAAAATCTTCTGATGTCGTCGGTGTAGAAGGCTGTTGTGTAGCTTGTTGATAGATTATAACGTGCTCTTCAATATTCAGTTGGGGTCATTTGGTTTGGTTTCGCGACGCGTAAATAATTCCGTTTTGAATGTTGAGTGAAGTGTCTCTTTTTTTTGGCCACCCCTTAGTATTTTCTTACTTTGCTCCTACTGTGTTCCTCTGCACCAAGCTGTATGTAGACAACAAGAATAATTTATACATGTTGCTATTGCTAATGTGACAAGCGGAAAACAATACGGTAGATGGGACGATGATGACGACTTAGCACTGGCGGGGCCTTGAAGGAATCGGACCGCATACGGGCTGGGTGAAAGATGACTTGGATGTCCATAAGCGTGTACAGATGTGTAGAGAAGCTCGATCACTTTCGACGACCCCATGTCCAGCCGAGGTCATGCCAGTCCGGGTTCTTCTTCACCAACTGCATCGATCGTAGAAATCGTCGCGGATACTGTAATGTAGTTTAGAATTCGATACTCTGCCAATGACGTACAAAAAAGGTTGAACGCCTACCGACAGATCTGTTGGTGCACTTCGCTTTCCCCATGCCATAGCCGAGATCATTCCCAACTTGGTTGAAACTCTCTAGGCACTCCTTGTAGAATCTGAAATATTCATTCCCCTCTGGACCAATTAGTTATTACGAATAACGGTTGAGAATGAGTTTTTTCTCCTGTTGGTCCGTGTAGACGGAGCTCAAGCGAGCTCAAGCGTTTTGAGGTAAGGGCAAAACATTAAACCCGAGAGACCTTTAGAGAATACTCCCCTCCACTGCTGCCCCTTACTCTTGCAGATAATTTAGAACCGTCGTGGACCCTTCCTGATTCTCATAAGTCATAACTCATAGACCCGAACCCTTTGTGCTCCTATCTGTTTCACATTACCATTATCTCACGATCAACTTGAAATAAATCAATATTTGAGGACAAGAACATACCATAGGCCAGAGTCACTTGCACGAAAGCTAGGAGCAGTAGGAGCAGTGACAAATAGCTTTTCATGTACCTGCAATTACGGTTGATTATTACTCCACTACTCCAACTTCGATGGTTGCGAAATCGATACTGTTAACCATATAATAAACCTATTGAATTACAAAGCGAGGAACTTTCTAAATGAGTGACTAATAAGGATAAGACTTCTAAAAACCTGATAGGATTGTAAAACAAAGGTCGAACATGTGGAGGCTGGTGAATCATTGCACGAGTAATCACGAACACTGAGGCTTGGAGATCAAGTGACAGCTGATAGCTGACTGCTACCTATGAGCTGGAAGTGTTTACGAGTAACGACTGAAGTACCTTTGAAAGCCTAGAACTTGGTCTAACGCTTCCTTCGCCGGCTTAATATTCATGAAGATATCTCCGGCCCTTGTGCTAACAGAAGTGGATTGCTCTGGGAGAAGATTTCAATAGCACGCCCTGCATCCAGCAGCTGCGGAAAAGGAAAAGTAGTAGAAGTACCACAATAAGGTAGGCGTTATTATCGAGACAGAGCCATATGCTGGTGAGAAAACTTTTTATCAAGCGGCCAACCGATGGTGACCAGCTGATGAAACAACAAAATGTTCACTACTTCCTTCAAATCTGCATATTACTGGCCGGCGTTCCTTAAGTTTGTCTGCGCCATTGTACTCGACGAAGAAAGTGCGCCGAAGGATGTGGGCCGAAGTCGGCGTTCAAAACGAAGGTTATATATGCCACTGCTCGATGCGTCTTCAGATGCTGATTTCAAATCTGTCTTCCATGACTGTAACCCTTGGCGACAATGGCATCCGACGTCGGGCGACACTCTTTCTTCGCGTGGGGCGATAGCAACCGATATCGGGTGACACCCCGAAAAAACCAGACGCTTGGATTTTTCCTCTTTTTTCGAGCACCTCCTTATTTGCAAATATAATACTACTTATTAGCATTATGTTTTGCACTTTCTATGGGTTTGCTTCATTATAAAAAAATAACAACAAGTATAATATGACGCAGCCAACAATTAAGATTTAGCGCGAAATTGCGACTTCTTCAAAAGCATTCAATGAAGAAAAAGCAATCACAACTACTACATCGAGCTCTCGCTTTCCTATATGCGATCTACTGCAGTAAGGATCACTATCGACGGAAAGCGTCGGCTATAGCAGCCTTCGACAACATCTGCTGTCTCAGCAGCATCGCAATGAAGTCTACATTCTTGGTCGAAAGAGGATCGACCGCGCAAAACATCCTCCTTGATTCACGGATCAGCGTTTCCACCGTCACTTCGTTCTCATGCCCTGAATCGTCCTTTTCATCGCTTCTTCGTCTCTACCGGGGCAGCTAATCTCTTTGAAGGTGCAGACATGCAAATTTGCGGTGTTGGGTGCCACTTTGCGGTGGTGGGTTTGTTTCTGCAAATTGTCGTATCCGTGATCGGGGTCATATTCGTGTTCAGGGCAGGGGATAACTCCCACATACAGATCTTTGCCGAATTTACAAGGAGGAACATTCGTGGCGCCAAGCTAGCGCCAACGTGACGCCAAGTTGGCGCGAGCGTCACAAATTAATGCCATATTCGTAATCAGCGCATTGAATTAGGTGTATAGGTGAGCTTCCACAAGAAAAATACCCTCTGGTTTCCCGTGGTCCCACGTGGCAGACGCTCCGAAACCTGCCCGGTCGCCAAAGTGTAAACGATGCCACCGGGCCCATATGTATCCATGCAGCGTATGTGTCGCATGTTCGCGCTAACTGTCGCAAGCTCTCGTAGTTCACCGTAATTTACTTGCTACGCAGCATTTTGTCACACAATCTCCACTCTCCATTCTCCTACATATCTACCCAATCGCTGACCCTAACTTACAGCCACACCACGTTGAAAGCACGCCATCCCGTCCGATCTGGCAAGTTAAGCAACGTTGGGCCTGGTTAGTACTTGGATCGGAGACGGCTTGGGAATCCCAGGTGTCGTAAGCTTTTGTAGTTCACCATGACTTACTTGCTACACACTACTTTCAACGCAATTATCCATTCAATTCATTCCAACCCACTCTCCGGCTCCTACTAGCTATACTACACGCCATCCCTTACGGCAAGTTAGCAACGTTGAGCCTGGTTTCAATTTGGATGTTAGACGTATTGGGAGTCATAGTGCTCTGCATCGCATAAATTAATGCGCGTTGTCCAGAAACCGTCCAAAAAATCACTTAGCAGATTTGGAGCACAGACACGAGCTCAGCTGTCAGAGCGGCTTTGAGATGATTCATGCTGTTCTGTCAAATGGCAATATCGCCAACGTTTTGCTTTTAAGAAAAGGTGTTTGTCTGAAATATTACTCGAATTCCTAGAAATCGAAAGTGCAGTGCCGATCCTACACAATGCTCACCCCCACACTCTCTCACTGCGCTGATTCTCAAAGTACGCGCCCATCCAAGGTAGTTCACGTAACATGAGCCACTTTGAGTGCAGGTTTGGTTCGCTGGTGAGGGGCCAGCAACTAGGTCGAGTGTAGCATTGGAGCAAAAATTTCCCATTTTTCGGCGGCATTTGATCAAACCTTATCACTCTCGACCATTAAGATGGCTAGCAATCTCCTATCGGAAGATCCTAAGTGGGGCTCGGTTTAACATGTACACCTATTTCTTTAAAGGCAATTCATCTGGAGCCAGAATGATTTCAGAAATTTCTGGTACTTATCTGTATCTATTCTAAAATATCCCTCTGGACAATTTTTCACCATTTTTGTCCACGTCAACTGCCGCAAACTTAATTTACCTGCTCTCACATTGCCATCTATTGACTTCCATTTAGGTCAGCACCTGGTGGAGAAGGTGCAAGTGCACGAAAATGGTGCTTTATAAGTAAAGGGGAGATAGTCCTCGTAGTCATAGACAACAGTGGCGGAATAAACTTAAACGTAAACTGGGCCACACGTCTGTAGGTATCAGTATAGTTCTTATTTATTTATTTATCTATTTATTTAATTATTTATTTATTTATTTATTTATTTATTTATTTATTTATTCCTTATCGGTATCTATATATTATATCTTATATTATTATATCTTCCCTGCCAACACGATTCTCATCATCGTGCGTTTCCTCCCCCTCGAGAAGACAATATAATGGTCGCCGATAGTGTGATCAGTGGGTTTTTATGTAAGGGTTGGAGGGTTGGAATGGAGTATAAGGAGAATAGGGTGTAACATCTCTGTTGATCACAATCTCTTAGTACTAAAAGACTATTGGACTTTATGCACTAATAGTAAATAATATCGAATTCGAAGTACTTTTGATAAGGATATATGAACCCCCTACTCCTGTGTTATCTAAATCCATTTTTTCCCGTATGTACGGAGTCTATCCTCCAAGGAGCTCACTCCACCTTGAGCTAAGCGAGGATGTCATTTCCTCATTCATAGACAGTTTCCTTAACCATTGCATAGTCTGAAGCACCTCAGGAATACTCCCACCTTCCACAGGTATCTATCCAAAGTACAACGTTCACAAAATTGCCTTACAAATGAATCGAAGTGTCATGAGCGCTCCAACTCTTATCTTTCCAGGGTAGGGCAAAATTACCGGTGCACCTATACGTTGTGAATTTTTTAACACTTGAGATTTTCGTCTGTTTGCACAGTCGCTTGTGATTAATTTGCTTGCAAGAGTCCAGGAAAGAGCGAAACACCCCCAGTCCATTCTTGTTTGGGGAGGAGTCACCTCTACGGGGAAGACCCCACTTGTTTTCGTTGAAGCTGGTGTAAAAATCAACGCAGAGGTTTACAAAAATATCCTGGAGGAAGTTCTCAAGCCGTGGGCCAACTCCCATTTCGGAGAAGCCTACTGGTGCTTCCAGCAGGATTCTGCTCCAGCACACAAAGCAAAGATGGTCCAGGAGTGGTGCGCCGAGCACCTGCCCGACTTCATCAGACACGACGAATGGCCCTCCAGTTCTCCTGATCTAAACCCGATGGATTACTCTGTGTGGTCCATCTTGGAGAGCAAAGCGTGTTCTACCAGACATCCAAACTTGGACTCTCTTAAGGCGGCGCTTTCAAAATCTTGGGACGAAAATCGATGACCAGTACCTGCGTGCCACATGCGAAGCATTTGTCGAACGTCTGAAGGACTGTGTGAAGGCTAAAGGAGATCATTTTGAGAAGCATTAACATTTTTTGTATTGTCATGTTTGTAGTAAATAATATTGATATTGATTAGAATTGATTTGTGAGAATTATTGTCAAAATGCCATTGAAAATTTAGTGCACCAGTAATTTTGCCCCACCCTGTAGTGTTGTAGAGCACACTGTAGGGTTCCCCCACGCCACTAAACTCCAGTTTCACAGGGTTAGAATGCCTTGTCACAGTAATGACATCACATTAAACATATCAATACTGACTTTGCCCTCGGATTTGTGGCAGTTATTTTTCTTTCCCCACCCCCTACGCGTTCAACCCTTTGTCACTGCACCACTTGGGATGGCTAGAGTGTGCTCAGTGGGCATCTACAGTAGTTGGGGGATAACCATCGTGTCACTCCGAACAATTGTATGCAAGACCTGTGGGTTCGTGATTTTTGTTAACAGTGGGTTTCCCTATCACTCCTTTTATCACATCCGAGACGATTCGCTGACAGGAAGGCGTAGAAACATGACTAGAAGCGACTCACCAAATTCATGGGTTGAATAGTCCAGGATAAAAGGATAAAGCATTCGCTATAGATCAGTCCCTTTTGGGATGCGACAATAGAAATGGCATTCAATGATATTTCCATTTGTACATTCGTAGTGGCCCTTGATTTGGCCTATACAATGACTTGCGGGGGCCAGCCGATGTACAAGTCAGTGTTTTTATCCTCCCAGACAAGTCTGGTACCAATTAACCGACCCCGGAGGGATGGAAGGCTTGGTTGGCCCGGGCGACTCACGACCCAGGATTTGATCCCCGGACCGCTCGCGTGGTAAGCGCGCCACTTGCCACTACACCACTTCCGCCCTTGGTCTGGGAAACAGTGACAAAACGCGATGACGGCT